TCTTTCTCTCTTCTCGTTACGATATTTTTCTTTTTTTTTTGTTCGTAATAAGTGCCGAAGATTAGAGGTGTTACAAGGGAGTAACAAACACGAAAAAGAAGGAGGAGAGATCAGGACGACGATGTTTGATAGGAAAGAAGAAGCAAACCACACCAGAGCACCCGCCAACCACAAACTCATTACGATACAAAAATACATACATGTTGTATTTAAAATAATCCCCACCCTCAACTATGACTAACCCAACTCCCATCCCTGTAACGTATACTGCCAGACATCTATCTGATAACTTATCTCATCAACACTCCTTTCCTCAGCGCCCCCCCCCCCCCCCCAAGACCACACACAAAAAACCCCCACAAAAACAACAACAACGAAAAAAAGGAAACATGCACTCAAGCATTCGCGCACCTCCTGAAAAATGAATATTTTTACTTGACAAGGAAGTACTGAGCATTAAGTTACAGAGGGACTTTCACAGCGACATTTGCACACGGTGATCTACCGTATATTTTAACCACTAATAGTAAACCATAGACATGATCACAGCTCGTGCATTTATTTTGAAATAAACCAACCTTTTACTTATCAACATAAGAACCAGGAACGAAGTTATTTCTCAGCAATAGTAGAGGACTCAAGGCACACTTCTCGCAACGTCCTTCTCTTGACTTTCCGCATGTCGTATCAATAACACTTCAGAGAAGAACAGTGTGTACCACGATTTGTTAGCCCACTGGACGTACGTTGGCTATACCCTGACTATACTACAGTCAAGGTCCCTGCTCTACAACAACGTGTGCCAACACGCCTCCTGATCAATATGGGTCACAGCACACTCGATTTTATGTACCTGTACCGATATATCGATTTGATCGCTTTCTGGAAACTCTATGCCCAGGGAGAAGTAAGGCGAAGCGTAATTGTTGTAGTGACTGGCAGGTCGTTTGCTGGTCGGCGGCCACTGCCAGTGTCGTCGCTTGTCTTCCTCCAGAGAGAAGTTATTGTTTGACAACGTAAGCTGGCTTTAGCTGATGGAAATAAACGGTGAGAGAGAGAGAGAGAGAGAGAGAGAGAGAGAAGGGGGAGACAGAAAGAGAGAAAGACTAGCAGACAGAGAGCGAAAGAAAGCGCTTTCCTTTCACGTTTGCAAGAAGACCAGCCCACCTTTAGGTCGTGTCGTGGAGGAAGACAAGCGACGGTGACACGGCGGAAGTCACCCAGACCGAGGCTTTGAGAATGTTCTGGCGGGAAACGGAAGTGATTGATGTTGTTCACATTTCCGACAGGTCGCGTGCAGACGACTCGAGTTGTCCAGACCGACTCGGGCATCTGGCTGACCATTGCCGCACTGGTCAGTCTGCAGTCTGTCCTCTACTTCTATCAGACAGACTTTTAAACTTGTTTCCCCTTCTTATTTTTAGTTAGAGCTCCTCGGCACTTGCAACACAGATAGGTCACATAAGAGCCAACGATTAGATGTATTAGAAGAGTGTTGCATACAAAGAAAAGAAAGTGCAGGGACAAGAACGATATTTATTCGTTTGATATGAAAGAAGGAACAAACCACACCAAACCACCAGACAACCACCCACTTCTAAACTCTTCTTTCCTGATTTTAGCAGAAACCATTTCATAGTACCGGCGTCTGGGGTGTAATTGTAAGGCGTTTTGCTGTCGCATGCAGGAGACCCGAGTTTCATTCTCGAGTGGGAGAGGGGTAATTTTTATCGAGTATGTCGATCTTCCTGCAAGAATGTCATCATCCCCTCAGCTCGGGTTGGCAGGGTCAGCAGTTCACATTCCTAAATGATCTAAATTGTGTCGACGATTGTGTAAAAATACATGCATAAAAAAGGCCAGTTCTATTCGGACTCGAGTCCGATTAGATTTTAAAATATGGGTTTTATCTATTCGGACTCAGATCCTAAAAAATGTTTCATTTATTTGGACTCAGCTTCTAAGTGAGTAATATGAATGTAAAGTGGTTATATTATACAACTATCGTCGGGGGATTTTACGTAAAACTAGAATTAGAACTAGAATTACTTACTAGGACTGTGTAATTGTGTCAAACGTCAAAAGACTGCACTCTCATTGCCCAATGGCAGTGTCTAAGTACACAGTAACCCACAACTCAGGGTCTTTTCACCACCACTACAGCATCATCATTACTTAAATCACCTTTTGTCTTTCCACATGTTTAATTTCATTTTGTTGTATGTTATAGCTTTTCTGTAATTAATTAATTTTTTAATCACATCGCATAAAACCGACAGCCTTTGCCTCTTCCCAACACCTCTTCCCCCAGCAAGCCGAGAGTGCGAGATCGCTACGCGCGATCTCATTGGTCGACATAATTAATTTTGCCTCCGGCAAGGTCAACGCTACTTGGTTTTTCTGTTCACACTAATGATGCAGGGAGAGCCAGTTTAGATAGATCTAGTGACTGGATATTAAAGCTCACGTCTCGATTGTTATCCTTATAATCGAAAAATTTTCATAAATGTTGGAAATATTTAGGACCAAGGGTCGGAAGTCGGAATGGACGTCATGCTGGACTCAGATCACAGTCCGAATATTATTTTTGTCTATCCGAATAGTCACTTCGTAAAAAAAACAACAACCATTTATCAGACGTCTAAACTCTTCTTTCTTGATTTTTGTTGTAAAACACTCCAGAGTCTTCACCTGTATTACATGATGTGTCTTCTATGAATACTTTAAGAGCCAGTTTCATGGTCTTGTTTGCTCAAAACTAGATGCTTAAAAAAGGTCTGCAAATGAGCCTCAGGTCTTCGATTTTTGTTTTTTTTAAAGCTAGACTTTCAACCCTTTTATGACTCACCTTTTCATACTTAAAAAAAACCCCAACAAAATAAAACTACTATTTTTGGCTGACATATGAAAATTTATCAGAAAGTTCAGACAAATAGTAGTAGGTATCTCCTAACCCCCAAAGTCTCACGTTTATAAAAGCGGGACATTTTAATAAGAGAAATGGAGTTTAAAAAACAAACATTCACTAATCATTTTTAGAATATGTTTGAGGTATTCAAGTGGGTATTTAAAAAACCCTTTAAACCCCCGCACCTACCGCCACCCCTTTCCGCTTTACCCGGAAATTATCTTTGATGGGCTGGCATATAATGGCTATTATAGCAGTTCAGACCAGAATGCATCATCTTTTGTCACGAACTCAGCAGTCAAGCCAGAAATCATCGTAATTTTACGAATAAGTTTATCACAGTCCACATTTTCTTTTGACACGTCCTTGCTCCTGGATATTCATCCCTCGTTGCTTGAATCTGATAATTCCCCTTTGGTTTTGCAGATTAAGCCAGATGCGTAGAAAGCCTGCTTGGACGGGTTTAAGACGTTCAGTGACGACTTTCATTACCCCATGCCCCATAGTAAACCCTGTTTACGTCGTTTGGTTCAGAAGCCGCTCAAGATACTGGCTTGCTGATGTATTCCGTTAATATATTTTGCATGTATGTTTTTGTTTGTTTGTTTGTTTGTTTGTGTATGTGTGTGTGCGTGCGCGCGCGCGCGTGTGTGTGTATGT